AAAATAAAATGATCAAATAATTTTAAGTACCTATATATATTGTTTGAAATATGTTGTTTACATATTTAAAATTTCATATAAATTGCTTTTGTTTTGAAAAGGTTATATGCATTTATATTATATAAATAATATTCCAAATTTTTTTGTATCATACTGTATGCAATATATTATTTTTATAAAATAAAATCAATATTTTTTCTTATAAAGTTTTTAGTTATTAATAAATTGAATATTTTAATAATTAATACGTATATAATTATTGATTAGATAATTTTTTTTATTAATGAACATAACTTTTTTTTTTTTACTTTGCATCTTTCTCTTGATAAATACTCGTGTAACCCTAGTTATTCCTTTTCACCAAATATTCGAAAAAAATACAAGTTCATTAATTAAAAACTTTTCTTATTTGGAAAGACAAATTTCATCACTAAATTAATGCATATTTAAATAAATTGTTCTTTATTTTGTAATGTTTTCTGTGCTGTTATATTTTTTTCATTTTATAAAATCATTCTTTGTTTTATTACTTCACTCCCAAATAATAAATTACATTTGTAATTAAAATATACAAAATTGAACTTTTTAATTACTTCATATCACTCACTAGTACAACTGTTGAGATTTTGGGCTTGTGATGTCTAATAGGTTTTCCCTAAACTGGCTATCAAAAAATCCCCTTGTTCTGTCACAAAATCTAGTCATTACAAAGATAGTATATGCCGTGCTAAAGAGCTCAGCATAAAGATGAGTAGGTAAACTATACTTGAATCCTAATAATCGATATATACACATAGCTGTGAGCTGTACTATATCTATTGAAAAGAGAATTATCTGATGGATAATATCCCGATAACCTTGTTTATTTTTTGTATATTTTACTATGTGAAGAAGTTTTCTGTAAAAGAGGAACTTGAGAATAATGTAATAAATGTGAAAAAATGATACTATTAGCTGTCATATAACCGAAGAAATTGGTATAGACAAACAAATTAAACTACAATACGATCCATTGCACTTGACAGCATCTATAGTGGTTATTATTACCAAAGAAATTAATTCTAAGGTGCATAATACAAGAACAATAATATGTAAGTTTTTAAATACTAGTCTTCGAACTGGCTCATAGACCACTTCACATCTTTGATAAGCAAGATGCAAAATACCCGTTTTAGCAATAGTATATGCAACATATTTAATTGCATCTGCCAAGTAAAATAAATGTATGAAAGTGTTATCAGAATACCTTGTAAAACTCACGGTGTTAGCATAGCAGTCTGGACTTTCTCTAGCATTTGAACAATTCGAGCTGGTAATTACTTGAGGTAACATGATTATTTCGTTAACAAGAACTGCCCTATTAATGGTATAGAGGAGCCACTTGGCCTCCTTGATTTTATTCTTTACAATTGTTCTTGAAAAAGAATCGATTGTGAGAATAAAGCTTGCAGAAAGAAGCCACGATGATACTATAATTCCAAGTGGACTGAGGTTAGTTGAATCTATCTTTAATAGAATCATGCTTCACAAGTTTTTTATCATGATAATATTTAATTAATGAAGTATTAACAGAATTTTTATTTAAGTCTTGGTGAAAGAAAATTTATACAAATAGTTTATACAACCTAGACATGTGCATTCATTGGTTAGTTTCTTTTTGTATAAGAAAATAGTCACAGGATATATGCAATAATCGAAAGTTGTGATAAAGAATATCGGGCATATTGTAAATATTTACTAAACCAAATCACCTTTCAGGGGCATTGTTATACAAACGAAAATTGAAAATCCACTTTATTGATTATTTGTGTATATACCAAACAAAAAAAAATAGTTTAAAATGAAACATATTGAAAGTTATTTCTTAAAGAAGTGTAACAATAAAGTTCTGCTACTATAAAATTTAATTGAAATTTACGTATATATAGTCTTGCCAACCGATGGCAAAATTTGCATAACGCATAACTGAAAAAGTGGTGTCAGAGGGTAAAATTGTAACGCGACTCCAGTCATGTGACTAATAGCCGCGATAGTGCCGCAAAGGACCCGTTCCTAACTTGGTACTGGAAGTAGCGTGATAAAAGATATGTAAATAAAAAGTGATAGAAAGTGGATAAATAATAGTAGAGAAGTGTGTTAGGAAGTTAGATAATGAGGGGATACTGTAGTCGTGAAAAATGATTAAGTAATATAAATTATTGTGGATCGAGTATTATGTAATAAGGGAAAATCATTAGATAATCGATGTTGCAATATTTTTAGATGTTGAATAAAGGAAAATGAATCATTCTTTTACTTAGCCAAATAGTACATGCCAAAAACTTATTAAATTCCTTACCTCATCGACGGTTACGTGACACTCTGCCCAACTTTAGCGACAGACTCGCCGATCAACTGTCACAATGGTAGGCACCAGACATTATTAATCATTGTATTTTATGAACACACGCATTCTTACTTTAATATCAGTTTGTTTTATCTTTTCAAATCAAATCTATTTAATAGAATAATAAATAATAAATATAATGTAAATAATATAATAAATAAATATAATTTTTTATGATGTTTACACGAATGCATTACTACATACAGTCAAACCTTGTTATAATGAATAGGTTAGGATCATAAGGCCAAAATTTTAAGAAATTTGGTATAATGAGATTCAATTAGTAAATCTGATATAAGAGGTTAAATTTGCTATAGATGCTTCTTTGCTTACCTTTAGTATAATGAGTTTTTACTTAGTTCTTTGATATAATGAAGTTTGATATAATGAGATTAGACTGAATAGTATATTATAAATTTATTTAGACTTCATAAAATTAAAACTACTAATTTTTTTAATCATTATAAAAAACATCAAATTATGAAAATAAAGGTATAAAGAAGATTTTTGCTTTAATCCTGACCCAACTTTACAATTTTATTACATAAACAACAATAATGCATTTAATACTACAAACTAAAATATATACTAATTCTATACTATTTTTTTTTAAAAAAATTTATAATTAGTTCTAATTAAATTTAATAAAAAGATTATGTATTGTTAGCCTAGTAAAAATCATATGGTAGCAGAGTTTCTTTTACTATTTTGGGGTGCAGAAAAATGCTCCCCGTGCGTCACTTGTGCAGCATCCTTACCGCACTGGTGCAGCGACTTTGCAGCACCTGTGCAGGTATGCTTTTGGGTGAAATTTCCGAATTATGTGTGTCACGTGATTGGTGATAGTGATCGACACGTAACGAATTTTATGAAATCGCCGAGAAATTTTAAATAGATCTCGCGGAACCGTTATTACTCTAATATAGTTAAAATAAAAAACCTATACTATAAAATTATAAATTATTTATTAAGGATTTACTTAATTT